GATAGATCATTTACACATTTCTTATGTATTCTACAATGTAAAAAAATTTTCTATAAAATGTACAGCATTATTGGCAATTTTGGTCTGTAAAATTTACTTGTGTACTGTAAATTAACAATTCAACTTGTACTGTTGTTTTACAACACAACTGTAATTATCAGTTAACAGTGCGCAATTTTTGCAGTTTTACTGTTGAAATTAAGTGCAAATTAACAATTACGACTCTGCTTTAGCTTTTTTTTTTTTTTGTAAATTTTACAGCAATTATTACAGTATCACATCCTTTGATTAATTATGCTTGCAATTTCAATTTAATTTCTCAAACAGCTATAGTACTCACACACTGTGCACTGAAACTTCTAGTTTATTAACTTTATACATTTTTTTGTTGTTGTTGATCATTTTTAACATGCCACTTTTGCCTAAGTGCTAAGTATCTAAAGGTTGGGACACACCAAGGTGACATTAAGCCATTGGGCAGAATCGGTCAGTCAGCCAAAATCCATCTGACTAGTAGGCTTGATGTGTTCATCAGATCCAGTTGGTCAGAGTCAGCATGTAGAATCACTGTTAGCTGAAGAGAGAACTCGTTATTCAATAATGAATCCGTGCGCTAGAACAAAAACTGGAGTGACATATCAAAGTAAATAAGTCAAGAGAGAACACAAAGAAGCCGGCTGTAGTTTGGCTTTCTCAAATATTTGCTAATGATATGGATTGTTAGATGATCGGAGATGTTTGCACAAGTGAATCCCTCCATGGTCAGTGAAAATTACTGTGTTTATGGTACTAAACGGTGCTTTATTTTTTGTGTTGTCTGGGCTTTTCCTTTGTGTGATGAGAAAACAAACTACTGCCACCCACATCCTCTAAAGCAGTGGTTCCCAAACTTTTTATTGCCTGAGACCCCCTTTTTCCCCGGAAAATATTGTAAGGCCCCCCTCCACATTTAATCATATATCCACTCATATAAGTTTGCAGTAATGACAAATAATGTTGTTTTCAAACAAACGGTATGTTAATTACTATATCTAGATTTGCACAAATAATAGCCTAATGTTTCCCAGAGTTGGGTTGCAGCTGATAGGGCTAATATATATAATAATATATATATATTATAATTGTTATTGTTGTTATTATTAATATTATTACGATTATTATTAATTTACGAATTGATATTATTATCTAACATCTTTTCACCATTTGATTAATATGCGATTTTTATATATTTTAGTTAAGTAGGCCTACAAGTATACAAAATTAATAAAAACCTAATATGAAAGTTCAAAGAGGCTGCAAAACATTTGCAATACTTCATATATATAGTGCTTTGTAATAAATATTTTAAATAGGATTTTACCTTTAAAAGTTTCTTTAGAACTGAGTGAACTGGATGAAGACCCGCCAACCTATCTTGACAGAATGGACACAGGCTGAAACAGATATATATATTATATCTATATATATATATATATATATTTATAATATATATTTATATGTATTCATATTTATTTATTTATTTGAGAAAATGACTGCAGATTTGCAGTTGAAATCAGACCTTTTCCAACAGACCTGGGCATTAATCGAAACCTACTTACTTGATCTTCGAGAAGCTGTCAGGGGCTTTGTCTTAGTTGTAGTTATTGCCTTTATATTGGAGTTTGTTTATTTATTTATCTACTTTTCTTTTTCCCCTTTTTTGAGCTATCACTATTATCTATCTATTATTATAATTTCTATCATATATTATTTTCTGTATATTGTTTCTTTTTTTGTGACTGTAAACAGTAATTGTTATTTGTATACTATGTTTATAAAAACTTTAATGAGAACACAGTTAAAAAAACATAAATCCTCAATGGTAGAATATCCTTAAAATCCAGGCCTCTAATTTCCAACAAATGTCTTCTGAATTACAGAAGTAGTCTACTGAGTTATTTTTTCTTTTCAGTTTTTTGCATCAAATATGTTGTATGATGAAAACCAATGCCAATATTTAATTTCTCCATATTTTTACTGTCATTTTTATAAAAGAGGCAAAGTAAACATTCACAAAAAGAAATATACATTAACTGGTTCAGTTAGGCTTAAACCACAAACGAGTAAACTTTACTCTACATGGATAAGATAACTGTTTGTGTAGGCTGTTTGATTTGTTTGCACACTGCCTCGGTTATATTGTGTGATGGTAGGATTGTGTGGGTGCCCGTCAGTTTCTTGGTTCTAGCTTTATCCGACGCGCAGCCGTGACAGGGCTTCAGTTATGAGACCGTACAGCCTGATTCCTTCTATCCTGGCTTCTGTTACTTCATGTACAAGTTAATCAATAATGAATGCTGTTTTACTTTTTAATTCTTTTCTTTTTAGAAAATCTTGGTTAGCCTGGGCAAAATTGACATCTGATCATCCTCATGGGAGAATTAAACAGGGCTATTCAATATTCTGATTTGGCTAAATCCCCTCTGAGCCCCAGATAGTGGCATCACTGTTTTAGAACAGCAGCAAACTAAAAGAAATACTTTACATTACCGATGTGCAAAAGCATAGCGCAAAGAGGCATTTTCCAGCATCATGGCACAAATTAATTATTCAGCTAATCATGGGTCCACTTTTTCCACCCACCTAGCTGGATTATTCCGGCCCTGTTCACGTGCAGCTTTTTATTCCAGACAGAATTAGATGTTGCCCACTACAGTTTTTGTCAGTGCAAGTTGTTTAGTGTCGGCTTAGTGTGTCCCTGCCTTAAAGAGCCCCTATTATGGGTTTTTGAAAATGACCTTCCATGCAGTTTGTAACACAGCTCTAATTGAAGTGAAATATCCAGCTAGGTGTAAATCTAAATGTGCACAGTGTTTAAATTTGTCAATTCATCTATAAAAGAGTCAACTCATGGTAGTTCGAATGAATCGCCACACTAACGAATCTTTAGCCGTGTCAGCGTGACGTCGATACAGAATTCAAGCCCCGCCCATTTGTTGCACGAGCAGACTCGGAAAATTTTAAACTCTCTGCCCTGTCCACAAACACTGTAGAAAAAAAAAAACAGAAAGCCAAGCACTGTAGCACATCTCGGTTAAATCATGTCATGAAGACGCTTTGCTGTGAAGTGTGAGGGAAAGTTAGTGCTACTTTTTCTTCCCAAAGACGAGGCTGTAAAAAGTGGTTGAAGTTTATTTTTGCAAAAATACCTCAGCATTATAGCCCCAGCCTTGTGCTGTGTTCCCGTCATTTTTCTGATGAGTGCTTTAGCAATCTACATGCTTACAATGGGGGATTCATCGGCCATTTGTTAAAGGAAGGATCAGAAAAGACTATTGATGAATGGGACTTTGTCAGAGCCTGACAGGAACTTTACATTACACAGTTCATGTATCAGTTTCTTCCTCCATTTCATAAGTGTAAATAACTTAAGTGTGATTAAAATGGTTGCCCCCTTGTTTTTTCGAGCTTGCAAATTATTTCTTGTCTAAAACCACACTAAAAGCGTGCCACGTGCCGCTTTGATCCTCTGCAGTTTTTCATTGCTATGGCCATCATCAGCTGTTCCTACACGTGTGGCACTCAAGTTTCCAAATAGTTCAGCTTTTGCTACTGTGTGGATTAATACTGAATGTGTGTCATGGTTAAGAATAGAGCAACATGCTGGTGTTAAACTGCATTGCTTTAATGCACTCCTGCATTGGGCTCACACATACAATCTGCACCCTGACTACTTCAAAATTGTTGATGAGTCGTGGTGGGCATTTCTCGTGCTGAACGCAGTTGACCAATGACAACATACTGGGACTTCGGACCAATCAGCGCAGATTAGCGTTGTGTTAAGGAGGGGCTTTTGGAACAAATGAATCACTAAACGAATCATATGAGAGTTGTTGGGATAATTAGATAAAACTAAATGCTTATTATGAGACAATAAAAGTGTTTTTTGACCTTGTATGCATGTCAGCCTGTTATTGAAGACCCCCCCCAAACTAAAATAATACCTTTTTAATGCATAATATGGGCTATTTCAGGGCACTTTTGACTTTGGAAATGCAAGCCTTATCAAGGTTACATGTACAGAATCACCTGTACTGTACTATACTGAACTGTTCCGCATAGTGGAAAAGAGCCAAAACACTGCAAATAAACATGTCAATTTAAGGTTGAGGAATAAAAAAGTGTGAATGTTTAGTAAAATTGAGTTGCCATAAATTTGAGAATCTGGCTACACTAGTGTAGTCATGTGTGACTTGGGGGGGCTGGAGGAAGGGTGAGGCTCTCAGACAGCAGTGAGCTAATGTGCAGTAATGCTTGGTTACAGATGTAAACACATGCATATACTTTAATCATTACAGAAATGTCGGCCCACAAGCCACATGCTACAGCCACACAGACTGACATAACAACAAACTTTTGGTTCTTTTCTAATGACTCACTGACCATGAATTAAAAACCCTTTCGCCGGTTCTCATCAAGGTCAAGAATTTTAAGTCGATTATTAATGTGCTAAACAATGCACACTATTTGTGTTGATATATGTAGAAAAAATGGCTTATTTCTTAAGTATTGTGAGTACTTAGATGCTGCCACATAGCCTGGGCAAAGGTTTTCTGTGAACTTGACTCACATTCACTCTTTTGCAACACATTACCGGAAATCTTCAGGTAGAGGCCTGTACTGTACGGTATCTCGGTCAATAACCAGGTGTCCTGTGATTACACATACTGCCAAACGTTGCGTAATGCAGTCACACTTTCACTTGAATGTAACAATTATGCTAAAATTCAAGTTGTTTTTAATGTATCTACAGACGGCGAGAAAACCTTTAACCTTATAGAGCAATCAAAGCGCTAAGCCTTTGAAAATGCTCCAAAAAAAGATCATCTCCTTATCTTATCTCAAAGTATTTTAACAGCTCTGTCATTCAGTTTGGGGAGTAAACGGGTGTGTTCACGAAGAAATCCTTCAGATGTTTCCGAACATGAAGCTACAGCTCTGTCTCTCTTTTTTTTCCACAGCAAAAGAAGACATACCTGGAGCGCAGCGTTAAAGATGCGGAGGACAACATCAGGGAGATGCTGATGTCTAGAAGGGCCCAGTAAAACTCTCTCTCACACACACACACACACACACACACACAAATAATGTATAATCTCCATCACCTTTGCACACCATGCCCTTAGTTTGAACATGCTTTTGCGTGTATTATAGAACACTCGTGACAGTCGAACTTGCATTTGTCAGCTGAACACAGGAAGTTTATTTTAGGTTAATAGTTAAATCTGAATGTACTGTTGACCGCAATGTTAATACTAACTAGTGTGACCTCTGACACCTGAGGATCTACTTAAGTCTTAAGTTATTGATGTTTTCTTTTGCTGTTCATTCGTTTTTCCTATGGTTTCGTAATGAATCAACAGTTTTTTTAATGTAAGCAGATGGTAATAAAGGTGACTGTTTTGAGACGGCAAATTTGTTTTTGCGTGTGTCTGTGTCATGTAAAGCGCACAGTAATTTAGATATGATCTGAATGATGTGGTGCTTATTTCTGAGGGATTGCAGTGTTTGTGTTTGCGATTTTACATCACTGGTTTCCTGTCAGTCCCTCTGGACGTCCTCGTCTCGACTCTCTGTCTCTCTTCTGATGTTGGACTGGTGTCTTTTTGTATGAACTTGTGAAATGGACGCAGCATTGAAAGTGGAAAAACAGAAATTCCCCAGACTTCTGTTTAAGTCTTCTCCAGACAGCGCTTCCTGTGTGTTTCCTGCTGGTCCGTCTGTGTCTCAATTCTTCATGATGCAGATGTGCGTCTGCTTGATATCCTGCCTTCCTCATTAGGGAGCGGAGTTGCGTGAATAACGGGATGGGGGAGGGGTTTTCTTATTATAAAGCTTTGTAATTGATGAGGTCATTGTTGTGCCATCCAATAAGTTTTGGGCTTACATGGTGCTTTATATTGCATCATTCTGATTGGTCAATCGAGGCATTGCCTGTTAGATTTGTAAATGTACTTTTTTAATATAATATAATATAATATAATATAATATAATGTAATATAATATAATATAATGTAATGTAATATAATATAATATAATATAATATAATATAATATAATATAATATAATATAATATTATTATACAATACAAGTGTTATTTAAAATGGTATTATTTATATGCTGTTATAGTATTTAATATTATTTAATCTTTAAATTTTGGTCATTTGAAAATATATTTTTGTAGGGCTTCATTTTACTTCCACTTTTTAAAAATTTTGTCCCAAAGCAATGTTTCTAACATTTCATTTTTTCCGGGTTATTATTAAAACCATAAAACTAAAATCATTTTTTTATATACTTAAAAGAGACATTAACTTGTGTGTACATAAATTATAAATGTTATTTATAAATAATTAGCCTTAAAAACTAAAATAAAAATTTGACATTACCAAATTACTAAAACTTAGAATTAAAATTGAAATCAGTCTGAATCTAAAAAAAAATAACAATTTAATAAAGAAAACAATTGCTACTCGGCAATACAAAAACAATTATGTTACCAAAAATGATATGGGGGCATCATGAAGGCGCAGTGGGTAGCATGATCGCCTCACAGCCAGAAGGTCACTGATTTGAGCCTCGGCTGGGTCAGTTGGCATATCTGTATGGAGTTTGCATGTTCTCCTCCGGGTGCTCCGGTTGTCCCCCACAGTCCAAAGACTTGCGCTATAGCTACATTTAATAAGCTAAATCGACGGTAGTGTATGTGTGGGAATTGGACTGTATGGGTGTTTTCCAGTGATGGGTTGCAGCTGGAAGGGCATCCGCTGCGTAAAACATGTGCTAGGTAAGTTGACGGTTCAATCCGCTGTGGCAACCCCAGATTAATAAAAGGACTAAGCCGAAAAGAAAATGAATGAATGAATAAAAATGAAATGGCAATGTGCATTTAATTTTTCTGATTTATATCTTACACAAACACTACCTGTCTACTACCTGCTGTAGCTTATTGCCACTCGATATTAGTTTTATGACAGCTCAGTAAAATGCTTAGTTCTGATTGGTCAATCACTCCAGTGTACATCAGACGTTAGTCTGGTTGTTTCAGGCAACCAATTTCCTGTGCTAGTTGTGCAAATATTCAGTCTCTGAAATCACGTCTCTTCATATTATCAGTCATATTATCTCATGTTATGTCATATTATGTCTGTTTATCCACAATTACATTATAATTAGTGAAGGCTTCTAGTTATTTTCTGTCTAAAAACAGCTTGTAATGCTGTATAATATTAGTTTGTTTGTTTGCTTTATTTATAGAGCACATTTAAAAAACAGATGTTGATCAAAGTACTTTACAAAACAATCAACATACAGAATCTATACTGTGAAACTCAAAAAGTTAAGGTAACTCAAACCGTTTGTAGAAACCGACTGCAATAATTCATTTAAGTTCAAAAACTAATCCTAATGAGTACTGTGTACTTCATCCATTTGAGTAAACGAAGCAATTTGAGCATAGTAAAACCCTATAAATGAAGAGAACTCAAACCAACTGAGGACTGTAAAACCCAATAAGTTAAGGCAACTCAAACCATTTGACTTAAAAAACTAATCTATATGAGTACTGTGAACTTACTCCATTTAAGTTGAAGTAATGAGGTGTTTAATAAACTCATTACCTTCAACACTGAGTTCAAAAATCTTTTCAAATGAGTAGAATTAACTTTTGAGTCAGTAAATTTTGAGGTAACTAAACTCTTTTCAATTGAAAAAGTTGACTGTTGGGTTTTACAGTGTGTGTGTGTGTGTGTGTGTGTGTGTGTGTGTGTGTGTGTGTGTGTGTGTGTGTGTGTGTGTGTGTGTGTGTGTGTGTGTGTGTGTGTGTGTGTGTGTGTGTGTGTGTGTGTGTGTGTGTGTGTGTGTGTGTGTGTGTGTGTGTGTGTGTGTGTGTGTGTATATATATATATAAACAAACTATGTCAAACTACTTAAAATTAATTAATTACTATAAAAAGCGAGACAGAAGGTGTTTTTTTTTTTTTAATGAGACTTAAAAGCATCAAGGGAAGAGCATGACCTGATATGTACAGGGAGACCGAATGCACAGACAAGGGGCTGTGACAGAAAAAGCCCTGTCTCCTTTTGATTTTAACCGTAATTTAGGAAACATCTAGCTAATGCAGTATGCCAGTGAAGAAGCTCACCAATGTAAGTAGGTGCCATTAGTAACATTTGATGTTCATATTGGAATATTAATATTTAATACTGCACTTTAAAATCATTTCTGATAATATTATTTTAAAATACTGTCTTAAATGCACTGGTTTGTAGGGAAAGTTGTTATTTTTTTATAGGAACAAATTAATTAAATGTGACATTTAATAACTTAAGTCCACTTTACAAAATAAAGTGGATAGATTTTTTGGGGGAGAATCTGTGTAATAAGAGAGATGATTAACAGTTAATGCAAAAAATCCATTCACTGTATTTCAGGGTTTTGATGCCCTGGATAATTTATTCATTAGACAAAGTCTATCTTCAACCCTAATTAAAGACACCATAGCCAGCTATGTCTTCTGACTCACTAGAACCGTCAAGGCAATTTTATGAAGGTCGATGAAAGCTAAATTCATCAGTAAATTAGTCCTCCAGAAACATATATTTGCCAATGGCTGAAACATAACCTTCTGCCTAATATTCTATTGGTCAACTGCGTGCTTCCAAAATAGCACTGACCTGTGGAGCCCTGGACTCTACGAGACCCCTGAAGGGTGTTCTGTGATATCTGGCACCAAGATGTTACCAACAGATCCTCCATGACTTATAGGCTGTGAGGTGGAGCCACCCACGGATCAAACTTGTTGCTGCAGCACGTCCCACAGATGCTCAGCAGGATTTGGATTTTGGAGGACAGAGCAAATCTGTGAACTCTTCAACATGTTCTTCAAACTGTTCCTGAACAATGTGTGCAAAATGTGTGGGGCATTATCCTGCCCAAAGGGTCCACTACCCTTTGTGAACTCTATTGTCTTGAAGTGGTTTTCCTTGTCTGCAACAGTAGGTCGCATATATGTGCACCTGAGTGTCAGGAGGGTTTCTCCAACAGAACATTAGCCAGGATGTCTCACTCACTACCCCAGCTTTGGTGTCATCAATCAACCAGGTGAATGGTAAATACACACATGGCAAATACACACATAAAATAAAAAGAAACCAGGACTCAAGGGGCCAGCTTATCTTTGTCCAATTGCTCTGATGTCCAGTTACAACACTTGCATACACATTGAAGGCCATGGGTCTCCATTCCTGCTCCACGAGTGTCAAAGTCAAACTAGCTACACTTGTTTAGTTCCTAGTTCCTAGTTCTAGTTGGCAAGTTCAGATGTGTTTAATTAGGGTTGAAACTAAGCAGGAGCAGGATTGGACATTCGGGCGCTTGATGACCTATTTCCACCGTTAAAATCACCTACAATGGGCTGGTCACTTTGGATTCCCAAGGCAATCAAGTTCATAGGCAATCTGATCAGTCTATGGATGTATAGCAGTGTATGATGGACTGAGTGTTGTGACACTGCCCTCTCATAAGCATCATTACATTTTTGTGTGACTTGTGCCAAGGTAGACCTTTTTGCTGTACCAAGGGTGTAGTAAGTCAAACTTGAATGAAACACTATCTTTACAAATGGTCTAACGACCACCCTTTCCATCCCCCTCTAAAAGAATGCAGTTTTTACCAAGAGAGCAACCAGAATGTTGTGTTTACTAAGCGGAGCACACCAGGAACCTATAGTGGCTTGAATCTTTAGTAATGCCACGGCTTGGTCCACACGGGGAAGTTTTTGTCATGCATCATTGAACCTTGGGCACCCAATACCTTGGTACCAGTTTGTGGTTTGTCTCTTTTATGACCACTGTAGGTAAATTATGACCACTGCTGACTGGAAAGTGACTCACAAGCCTTGCCAATTCAGAGGTACTCTTACCTAGATGCCTTGCAATGAACCTTATCAAACCCTCTCAGATCTTTACTCCCACTCCACATCCAACATCTTCATTGTAAAAACTGATTGTTTGCTCACCATGTAATCCACCAATTTCCTAATGCCTTAGACTTGTCATCATGTTTTGGCTCATCTGGCTTTGATCCACAAGTTCATTCAAGAGTTGATCTCTAGCGCCCTCTCTCGGCCACAGTAGTGAACTGCACATCTCCACACATGCCACATCTAGGCGTCAAGTCACATGTTCTTCACATTACTGCAATATGGGTGGGTCCAAGAGTACAGAGGAAAGTTTGCAACTGAGATTTGTTCTGTGATTACCTATAGATCTACTGAAGTCCATCTACCGGACACAATTGGGACTGCGGAAGGGGGGTTATTTTATTAGTTATTCAACAGCTATGATTATGCATTTCACTTTAAACCCTACAGATTCACACTCCTAAAGAGGAAAGTGAACACTAAGACTGCTGTTTGATAACCGTTCAAAAGTCTTTGCCCTGAAGATTAACCTCACATGTTGTGCTTTTGAAGGCTCTGTTGTTCACATCCAAAGGAGACTTCACGTTGCTTCATGAACACGGCTCCTGTTGTGTTCACACTGTCAGCCTTTTGATGAGCACAGGCAGGGGGAGTAAAGTCCAGGACCAAGGGCAGATTATTAACCTGTCTAATCTGGTCCCCTTCTGTCTCTCGCTCTCCCATAAAACCAGCTCTCAGCGTCCAGCCGGCTTTCAGGTCTCACGTGGCCTCTGGGAGACATCAGCAGCAGCACAGAGCACCACACATCCTCCAAGGGCCCATGAATCAGTCAGAAACCGCAGAGGAGCTTAAGGTAAAATATCCTTCAAGTATGCCGTCATCATGTTGTGAATAAAAACACAGATTTGGGTCACTCTGCAGATGTTTATCTCGAGGCAAGTAAGGGCGGGAAGTGTTTGTTGCTTAAACATCACATTGGAACACAGAGATGTAATTTTGTTTGTATCACTGAACTTTGCGTTAAGGAAAGTCATTGCTTTTTTTTTTGAGTGCTTTTTAAATTTAAGTAAAAGGATTTTGGTAATGCAAAATCCTTTTAAGACAAGCCTGTTCTTCTATGAATGTGGCAGACATTACAGTTTACACTACATTCTGTTTATTATATAAGAAACTGCATGTCTACTCATTCTTATTACATAGTTTTAGTAGACTGTTGCGGTTTGTAGAATTAAGTTAATATACTACTAGTGGAATGTCTGTTGTTGAGGAACCATTGCAGATGTTACACGTAGTTATACTCAACAACTACTAGTTGACATGTTACTTATACTCAGTGTTTGGTGTAATTAGTTACTGTTATTAATACTTATTCACAACACATAGTAAAGTAAGATTACGTTTTGTTTTTTGGTATTATAGTATCTTATACTTGCCTTAAATACTGTAAATTCAGCATTTCCATCTAAATCAATTCAGAGGAACAGAGTAATTGAGTTTGTTTTGTTACACTAAAATATATTTTTAGTATGATTAGATTATTTTTAATTATAAAGAAGGTTTCATATGTCTGATAAACGGCAATATTATGTCTGAAACATGGTATCACTATTATAATATTTGACACATAAAATGTTTATCTTTTCTGTATTAGTTTTTTAAACTAAGCTAAAATGTCATGTTTGATTCAAATTCAATGAATAAAGAATAACAATTTTATTGTGCCTTTAGATTTACAGTTGAAGTCAGAATTATTAGATCCCTTTTTAATTTTTCCCCAATTTCTGTTTAACACAGAGAAGATTTTTTCAACACATCGATTTTGATTTTATCTTTGGCATGATGACAATAAAAAAATATTTGACTAGATATTTTTCAAGAAACTTCTATACAGCTTGAAGTGACATTTAAAGGATTAACTAAGTTAGTTAGGCTAACTAGGCAGGTTAGGGTAATTAGGCAAGTTATTGTATAAAGATGGTTTGTTCTGTAGACAGTCAAAAAAATATATAGCTTAAAGGGGCTAATAATATTGACCTTAAAAATGGTTTTTAAAAAACTTAAAAACTGCTTTTATTCTAGCTAAAATAATACAAATAAGACTTTCTCCAGAACAAAAAATATTATCAGGCATACTGTGAAAATTTCCTTGCTCTGTTAAACATAATTTGGGAAATATATAAAAAATATATATATTTAAAGGGGGGCTAATAATTCTGACTTCAACTGTATATGGATTATATTAAGTATAGTTTTATTTATTAATTTATTTGTTTGTATATTAGGCTGGGACAGCATTTCTGCAAATGCATCAAAATTAGCCAGTAGGCTATTTTTCATTTGTTGTCCTTAGACGGATGTTAAAATTTTCACCTTAAAAAAACAATGCAAAAATTATACCAAGCATAATTAAGTAGCACTAAAATAGAAATAACGTCAAGTAATTTCAGACCAAGTAATTAGAAAGTTAATTAAAATATTCAAATATTAAATTTTAATGATGTAACTAGCAATTAATGACCTTTTTAAGTAGGTTACCCAACACTGCTTATACTGTCAACAGAATGTCTAATGGTGACCATCAAAATAAAGCATTGTTAATTAAAAAATGGTTGACTCCCAGGATGTGAGTTAAAGCTAAATATGTTTTCCTTGACCAACAAAAAATAAATTGAGTCCAATAGCTGTTACTATAAGATCAAATAAAGAGTATTTGCTATTACCAGGTGTTTCATGCATTTTGTTTGCAATACATTGATTTGCACTGCAGTATAAAAAAAAACAGTAGAATTTTGTTTGTAAAGTGGTAGACTGTATGCTTGATGGGTCATGTCATGCATATAAAGGTGCTAAACTTAACAGTCAGTTTTGGGTCACTGATTTGATTTAATTGGGCACAAGTCACATTCCTAGAAGTCTGTTGTTGACTTTCTCATCACTTTTTTTTGTCTGCTATGCTATAACATTTTTGTAATACAGCTTGAAAGCAAAAAGTCCTGCAAAATTCACACTGAAAAAAACTGTTCAAAGATCATACCTTGTTATTTCTTTATACTCATTTATTGGATCATGATCTTAAATTATTGATTGAAATAGTTTCATTTTGCTTTTGGTTCCGACTAATCTTATATAAAACCACACATTGGAGTTTTTCATCCATCAGTTGTGTTCAGCTCTGTCGCGTGCACAATATTTCTTGCATAATGATTGTTGTTTATAGTGACATAACCGTAGCCTATCTGGTTGTTTAATGATGAATCGTGCCTTTAATGTTTGTTATCTCTTTTGAAACCTATTTAACACTTTATTGAGCACTTAACTTGTCAAGTGTATGAAGAAATGTTAACCCTGCAACTATTCGTGAGGGTGTCAAGTTAACCAAATCATTTTTTTACTTAGTTACAGTCTAACTTATGACTTTCCGTTGTTCTCAGCACTAAAAAAAAAGAGAGAAGAGAAGGGAATTTGTTTTGAATAAAAAAAGAAGTATGTTGTATTGGAAGTGAATGGAAGTTTCTTAATGCAATATATTTGGTTAACAGTGGCTGCCAATATCCAGTATCTTATACTTTACTATGTGGGTTCAGTCCTTTTGCTGTCTTTTGCAGTTAGATTTATTATCTGTGGTTAAATATTAAATATTAAGTCATTTATAAATGCTAAATGAGAAGACAGCTTGGCTACTCTTGAACTTGGCTTTCTTTAAAAACTCTGATGTCATGTTTTTTATTGTGTCATTTATCATGTTCAAATTTACAATAATTGTCTGGAAATATGGCTTGGGATAAAAGAAATGATTTACTGTATGTAGAAAGATAAACTATTCTATTTTAAGAAATTAAAGATGAACATATACAAATCTGCAAATGTCATAATAGTAATAATTATATATTTGTATAGTGTTTATTAATATAAATTGTTATTATTAATATGAATATAATATATATTTATCTATTGGATAAGCTTTTATTCTTGTATTTATTTTGATGTTATAGTTGTTTTTCATGGTTTGAGTTTAGTTTGTACTTTTCATTATTTTCCATATTTTTATGTTTATTTAATTATTTTTATTAAAAGAAAATGTAGCTAAAACATATCCCCCAGATACAGCCTAAAGGAATAATGTACAAGGGTAATTAAAAAGAATTCTTTATAAACATTATTGGATTTAACAACAATGTTTTTTAAAGATATGCTAACTCCAAATGTTATAATATGTGAAATAGAGGGTGAGTAGTTTTCTTATCATAGGCAGCCAGGTTTTGTTTTAAAGTGCTGCCTGTCAACTAACACTGAATGTATAAACTAAATAATGTCACCATTTATAACAAATGACTTCCCAAATTTATATTAGGAAATTAGACTTGCACTTTCCCTCTCTTCCCACAGACTCTCAAAAGTTTGTCTTCCCCAGGATGTGTTGCTGCTTTTTAGAGTTAACTATAACAGTAGTGAAAACAATGGCTATTTAGATTTAGTTTTGTACATATTTTTAAATAAGTTACAATTTGCATTATACAAAATTAACAAATTTCTACAAATCAAAATGCTTACCAATTACTTAAATTGCTGTAACAAGATAATGTTTAGAAGATTATTGGAGGAAATTCCTTCATTCATTCATTTTCCTTCAGCTTAGTCCCTTTATTCATCAGTGGTCACCACAACAGAAGGAACCGCCAACTTATCCAGCATATATTTTAAGCAGCGGACGCTCTTCCATTGGCAACCCATCATTGGGAAATTGGAGGAAATTGCACAATAAAAAAAAGCAAAAAACATCACAAGAATTTACCAGAGAAAAACTAATTATACAAAATATAAAGATAAGTGAATCCAATTACATTATAAACAACATCCTCAAAACAATATCCAAGTGTAAAACAAAGTAAAATATGACAGCAAAGTTTGCTTAAACACCTTAAATGATGCAATGAATTGAATATTAGCAGGTAAATCACTCCAATCTGTTGGGCCCTTAGACATAAAACTTTTTTTACCAATAATTGTTTAAATAAATGCAGCAAAAATACAAAATACAATGTCAAACTTGATAATTTAAGGTCAACAAATATTGTTGTTATTAATAAGGATATTTAAAAGGAATACATGAGCAGTATCACACTCGTATTTGCACTAGTGGGAGGCGTGCGTTGTCTTAGTGACCCACCAATGACAATAGACAGCCATATCAGAATGCTACTGGTATGATATTGCATTTATACAACAGTTTGACTGCATAATTGTGTAAATAAAAAAGAAAATCAAAGCCTCAATAACCCTTTTGTAAGAGGAACTACTTTCTTCCGCCATCCATTTCGATCTGCAGCTGACATCCGAACAGCAGATGCTACTTCACAAACGTCACATTAGGGCTAGTATTTAAATAATTCTCTTGAATAATGTCTAAATGTCTAAATGTCTAAAGTGATGACAAAACAGTTGATTTTGCTCACATTTTAAGATTATAAAGCTGAACGGCATGAAATGCCATCAGTCTACAGAGATTTCCCAGAGTTTCTTAGTTGCAATCAGGAGATCACAATAATAAACCCTGAAAAAGCCAAATCAGTGCCAACACTACTGGATTACTGTTGTGTTTGTGCTAAGAAAAAATGCTAAACACAGTAAAGAGTGAAGAGGCTGTACGACTTCTGTTATTGCAGAATATTGCACAGCTGTTAGCCAATCAGATTCAAGAACCAGACAGAACTGTTGTATAAATTTAATTATAAACTGAAGCCAGTGATTATGTTGTCTTGTGTGCAAAGATGGCCACTGGAATAGATCATACATTACAAAATGGTGTGCATTAAAAAAACACCTCATCTGCAAAATCTCTTATATTCTGTGTTAAGAGGCGCAAGATATCATTTGGATGCAATCTGATATACAGTATCACAACAATCAAAGATTGAAAGTATAAACTAATGTAGGGTACTAAACTAAAATTGATTTTTACTTAAAATATGATTGATTTGTGATTTAAAGGAGAGTTATCTGTCCTGACTAAAGCTCTTTCTATACCAGATATTTTTTATTGCTTGAATTGCGTAATCTTGTTGGAATATCAAGCCAATTCCATGCAGGTCTGGAGAGGGTTTTCTTCAATGCCAAAAATATTAGTAAATTATTAGATACAAATGAATAATTCGATAAAAGAGCTCTGGGTTACATTACCCCAATGCATTACAAGAATTACATTCAAGAGGTTCGCAACTAACATACATTTCCTGACTCCAGCATATATAGACAACTGATATTAACAGGTGGAGTTTTGGTGTAACGTCACTTTTCAGTCATTCTGCAGTCCTTTGGCTCTTGTACCCCAAACATACTTCCTCTTTCTGCAACCCTTCTCTGCATACCAGAACTGAACAATTACGTGCATCTTTAATATATTTCACAACTTCTACAAGCATCATGACAACTTGTGACATGTATTGACCTTGAATTAAACAAAGGCCCCCACACTTATTCTGCTATTTCCATCTTGTCAGCATGTTCCTTAAAAAGGTATCCAGCACAGTAAAAAAGAGGAAGTGTGTCTGGTCAATATGTGATCTCTTACAATAGAAAAAGATTGATTATTCTGTTGTTAGTCTAAACATTCTTCTAATAAAAATAAAGACACAAAAGTAATAAAAAAAAATTCCTTTTTTCCAACAATGTTCATCAGCTCACACATTCAGATGGAGCTGTGCCAGCGGGTGGTCCAGAAGTACAAGAGATGCCATCTGACAATCCCAAGACGTCCGATGGGCATCAGAATCATTCAGCATCTTTTGATATGATCTACAGGATCGAGGACGTCCCGCCTTGGTATCTGTGTATCCTGCTGGGACTGCAGGTTTACACTTATTTTCTCTTCTTCTCTTATCTTCTAATCGAACTCACCCAACACTGTCATCTCTTTAAAACCCTCATATATGTGTGTATATTTTGGCATCTCCAGCACTACCTGACATGCTTCAGTGGGACCATTGCAGTTCCGTTCCTGCTGGCCGAGTCTATGTGTGTCGGGCAGGACCAGTACACCGTCAGCCAGCTAGTGGGCACCATATTCACCTGTGTGGGAATCACTACACTCATACAGACTACATTTGGTGTCAGGTGAGTTATCTAGTGTGAGCTTAGTGAGTGAGGAAATACGCTTACCAGGGTTTAATAGGGATGCCTGTTCAATAGCTATGAAACTTAATCATCTAATTACCCTCTTATAAAGCAATAATTCAGGCATGTAGATGTGGTCAAGATGATCTGCTGAAGGTCAATCTGAGCGTCAGAACAGATAATCAAGACGATTTAAGTAATTTTGAGTGTGTAATGATTGTTAGAAGCCAGCCCTACAGTACTGTTGATCTACATTCACTCACAACCATTTATATAGTTTACAGATCTGATAAAGAGAAAATATCGCCACTGTTCTGTGTGAAAGTGTCTTGTTGATGTCAAATGAAAAAGAACAGGCTGGTTTAAGCTTCTATAAGACAACAGTATGACTCAAATAACCACTTATTACAACAAAGGTCTGCACAAGAACATCTCTGAGCAATCAACACATCAAACCTTGAAGCAGAGGAGCTACAGCAGCAGAAGAAGTAGAAGAGCACACTGGTGACACGTCTGTCAGGGAACAAAAACAAACTGAGGATCCAGTACGAATGGGCTCTGTAAAACTGGTCAAGATAAGACTGAAAACAGTATTGATGCTGGCCACGTTCAATCCTTCATTATTAAAGTCACAGCGTGCTTCCAACACTGTGTCAAAAAGCTCAGATCATCTCAAACTGGTTTCTTAAATATGACATTGAGTTCACTACTCTCAAATGTCCTTTTCAGTCAGCATATCTCAGTCCAGCAGAGCATATTTGGCATGTGCTGGAAAAGCAGATTATCATAATAGACATGTTGTCGGCAAATCTGTAGCTATTGTGATGTTTTGATGACAAAATGCATCATTTGCTTTAACTCTAGTGTTTTGCTGTGAAAAATACACAAAAATGACCAATTATATATCATCTCAAGAGTCATTGGATCTTGGAAGGACTGTTTGAAACACTTAAAATGTGGGTGAACTGATTAAAATGTGGGTGAACTATCCCTTTTAAGCAGTTATGAAGGCAAAATGTGTCGTGCTACTAGCAAGATTCATTCATTCATTCATTCATTCATTCATTCATTTTCTTGTCGGCTTAGTCCCTTTATTAATCCGGGGTTGCCACAGCGAAATGAACCACTACCTTATACTGCATATTTTTACGCATTGGATGCCCTTCCAGCCGCAACCCATCTCAGGGAACCATCCACACACTCATTCATACACACACTCATACACTACTGACAATTTAGCCTACCCAATTCACCTGTACCACATGTCTTTGGACTGTGGGGAAAACCGGTGCACCTGAAGGAAACCCACGCGATCGCAGGGAGAACATGCAAACTCCACACAGAAACGCCAACTGAGTCGAACCGAGCCGAACCAGCTACCTTCTTGCTGTGAGGCTACAGCACTACCTACTGCGCCACTGCGTCGTCCTACTAGCAAGATGTAGCTAATAAATTGTAGCGTGATTAGCTGTCATTGTATGATGTGTATTATGTGCCAATTTCAGGTTGCCTTTGTTCCAGGCGAGTGCGTTTGCCTTTCTTATCCCTGCTCAGGCAATTCTGAGACTGGACAGATGGAAATGTCCTCCTGAAGGTACGAACAGTGTGTTTCACCAAAGCTTTCTATAAATCATTTTCAGACGTACTGCATTACTCTTACTCTATACTGTGTCTATAGTTAATGCCTCAAGTTCACATTCTGTTGATGATATATTTTGTCCATTTGGCTGTAGGTTAAAAAAACTTTGACCAACCATTGTTACTGAATTTGATTTTAAATAATTTAGTTGTTTATTAGCATAAATTGTTTTAATCAATGCATCATTGATGAGACTTCTTTCAAAAACAAAGAATTTTTATTCTATGTTTGATGTAATCTCAACCGAAACAAGAAGAGAGGGTGGGACAGAGGAGTGTAGCTCCTCCCCCTTTAAAAAAAACAGCCAATAGCCTTTTGTTTTATCACCGCTCTGCCAGTGAGTGTGGTTGAGCTCAAGTGAATGGGGGCAGGGCATGTCACATACTAGAGAGCATTTGATCAGTCATGATTTGATTAGAAACGGTAGTATGTGGTGACGTGAGTAAAGTTGTTGATCTAGGGCTGGGCGATTAATCTAACAATAATCGGCATTAAGATCCTATAATTCAGGGGTTCTAAACCTTTTAATTTCACCTTTCTTTTGCTTTATTTATTAGCAAAACCTTTCTGTTGCCTTCTATTATTCCCTTATTTTTATACGTCTTTTTTATATTATATAAAATTTAATAATATGTATTTAAAAAAAATAATAATTTAAACGCAGACAGGTTTAAAGCTTCTGAATTATTAATTTATTTTTTACAACTGTAGAGTATTTGGGCCTTTTCTTCGGTAAAGGAACCTGACAGGACTAAAGGAGATGGCAAAAACTGCTGCTGCTTTGAATTAGACTGACTTCTATTCATCCATTGATTCATATTCATTATTATAAAAAACCTAACCCTAAATGTAAAATATAGTAAAAACACCCTAAATCTGTTGAAACTGATCTGAAGGCGTTTGGTTTGTAGCTGGACATTATTGGAGTTCACTGACAGGATCAATGAACAGCTGTTCACTACTGAAACACCACTGATTCTCGCTGGATCCTACTGTACGGGCGCACGTTCGTTATAAAAACACTCACGGATGTTAATTTGGACAACTATGTGGATATTTTAAAGTGTTCACACACAAATAGAGCATGCATAGTTTGTGAATCAACGGACTTGTGCGACTCTGATACAGTACGAGTCGCAGACGTGAGGCACGCGTAAGCTGGTTATTATAATCATTGTTACCTTTATATATTTGCATGACTGTTTGCTTTACAGATGAGCGTAGTAAAAGTTGACACGCAGTGGTTGGAAACTTAAGCCACAGTTATGTCTGTAATTAACAGTGAGGCTGTTTTTGCAGTCTGAATTAGCCTGTTCAATCACAGAAATCAGGAAATGCCATTACTACTATCATTTTAATATGGCATATTTAATAATGAAATCAAATAATTATAGTTTAATATTTAAGTTCATTTAAGCTCTCGCGGCCCACCTGCAGGATCGCTGAGGCCCACTAGTGGGTCGCGGCCCACCAGTTGAGAATTCCTGCTATTACAAATTTTTCCCAGGTAAATTTTTTCAATTACTTTCCCTACCATGTGTGGAGTCACGTGACCTCCCACTGTTAAGGCTGAATTATACTTATTCAATTATTATGATATTATATTTCTGCCAAGGGCATGTGTACAGTCCGGCGCTGTCTTTGTATACACGCACCGCTCAAAACAATTTACTTGCATGTCACAATGACGCATATCGCAAACTTTGTGATTGGTCGGTTTGGTAGCGGTGACAATGGTGGAGAGCACAGAGAGCCACGTTTTAGGCAATGTGTGTTTTTTTATTTCAGTTGTTCAGTGTTAATGTTCAATAAATAATGATAGATAGTAGATAGTGTGCATTTCCTTTTTAATTATTTTAAAATCAAGTAATCCAGTGTGGATTACAAAAATCTCTCACTTGTAATATGTGAGCATATTTACTGTGCAAAATTTGTCAGTAAACTATGTATATAAAAAAATTAAATAACGGTAAATAAAGGTTCATTAATCGTAATCAAGTTAAAATGTTCAGTTAATCGAGATTTTGATTTTAGGCCAGATCGCACAGTCCTACTTTGATCCATTTGGATGAAAGTGACCCACTACAAGCTTTACATGTTCATATCAGTTTCTAAACACAAATTTTGGAGCAGACTAGCATATAGATATTCTAAAAATTAATAATATTGATACTTAAATCTAAAAAACTTTTATTAATTTCATGGGACCTTAAGAAATCATCTGACCCAAACGTCTGAGCAGTGATGTTTTCTGTGCAGTTGATTGAAAACTATTGTATGTCACATTATGAAGCTTTTATTTAACATGGTGCACTTTCCACTAAAAAAGAAAAACAAATCGAGTTATAAAAGCGTCACATGTTTGCATTTTATTGCGAATCTGCCCTCCTCCTTCTAAAAAAAGGCTTTGTCTCTTGAGAATCTGTTTACATTCCACACTGTGCCGGTCAGTCTGTGTGGAAGTTAATGCTTAACCTTGGTTTTGGGTTTCACAGAGGAGATTTATGGAGACTGGAGTCTTCCTCTTAACACTTCTCACATTTGGCACCCACGAATACGAGAGGTGCGTGTCCAGTGTCTAAAGATCAACGTTGTTTTCATAATGTCATGTTTTCTAATCTGTATGTGTGTCAATTCTCTGTAGATTCAGGGTGCTATCATTGTGTCCAGCATGATTGAGGTGGTGATCGGGTTTGCTGGCATCCCTGGGTTCCTGCTGAACTCAATCGGGCCATTGACCGTCACCCCTACAGTGTCCCTCATTGGCCTGTCGGTCTTCCAGACGGCAGGAGACCGAGCAGGGAGTCACTGGGGTCTGTCTCTGCTGTGAGTCCTTCAGTTCAGTTGACAAGCAACACAGTTATTTACATTACTTTCAGTAAATACTAGTTAGTTTTGAATTCAGTCTGCAAAAACATGTTGTTACATTTGCGGGTAAAACTGATATGCTATTTTATTGTTAAAGGAACCCAAAAATTTACATTTGCTGTTAATTTACTCACCCTAAAACCATTCAAGATGACATTTCTTTTTCAGTTAAACATCAAAGAAGACTTTAGCTGACACTGTGTTCCTTGTAGATTCATACATCTGATTATTTCGAGAAAGCCAATACTGATCGGAACTTCTACTTCTACGACCCCTTATATTTAAAGTGTATCTCCTCCTAAAGCTTTCAAGCTATACTCGCCAAAGTCCAGTCAGACCTTCAGACTATTCTGACTTGGGTTGCTATATCTTTTCCAAGGGATCAAACTTACGGTTTTCTGAAAACTGACCCAGAAATTTCAATATTGGACCAAACTGTGTCCTCATAATATTGCATCAGACTGTTGTGGAGACTTGCTAGAAACATGCAAACATGTTAGTAAACACTCAGAACACACTATCAACAGGCTGCTATCACTATGAATACCCTAGTAACCACATAGCAACACCCTAGCAACCACTTAGATTATTTACTTACTTACTCCCAGGGCTGTTTATATCAAAGTTTCCCCTGAGTGGTACGGTACGGTTTGGTATGGGTCACCTTTATCTGTACCCTTTTGGTTGGCGTGATGTACGAGAGAAAGTTTCAGTGAATGTCATTTTCGCTCGAGGAAATGTCAAAAGTGAAGCTGTACGGGTTATTCACATATCATATGAGAAGCACTTCTCAAAAACAAATGCTAAAAAGTGTGAAATAGCCAACTGTAACGTCTGCGATTATATAAAATAAATAAATAAATGCAACATATATGAACACATACAGACCCTTAATATCTCTGATATATTACCAATTACAGAAAAACTACACAGCATACTTTTACTCCTTATTTAGTTTGAGAAAAACACGCAACAACATATAGCCCACAGTCAAAGCAAATCTCTCATCTGTCTCTTTAATATTGAGTAGCACATGTAACCTCTTGTTAGAGAGTAATTCCGACAATCGGAGTTTAAAATAGTTCAAAGGGCGATGATAATAGTTAAACATGGCAGTTTGTTCATCTTTTAGGTTGATGACAGAATCATTTGCTCCTTTGTTTTTTCCGGCTTCTCCTTTGTTTTGTTTTTTGCACACTTTCATGTTTGTCCGTTTCTGAAAGGATCGAATAATCTAAGGCACTTCAATAATAATGCACACTTTATTATCATCAGCTCAAGAAGTTATTTCAATTATAGACGTGTGGTAAATGCTTGCGAGCTCTCTGGAGAGACTTTTCACACTTTTAGACGACCTTGTAAAACAAAAACAGGACCCGGCAGATGTTGTTCTTTTTGGCTTTGTGGTTGGTCATCAAGACGACGACAAGGTTTGTTTGAGCTCGGGTCAACCATGGCTTTTTATTATATGTATTTAGTATTACGATAGTCAATCGGCACGGTTCACTTTTAGGTACCTTTTGACAGTGAAAACGGCCATAAAAGCATTCAAAACCATACCAAACCATACCGTACCACTCAGTGGAAACGGACCATTAGCGGCACCATGTTGGAGTTTCATAACGTCAAATTCTTTTACAAGGTGGGTTGATAGCCCAATGCTCAACCTCCAACCTGGAGGACCAGGACAATTTAGCTTACCCAATTCACCTGTAGCGCATGTTTTTGGACTGTGGGGGAAACCAGAACACCCAGAGGAAACCCACACGAACACGGGGCACTTAGATTACTGTCCTCAATCTCTTATACCTGCTTCAAACTTCAGGCTAGATTTTCTCTAGCCAACTTTAAATTTGTCTTCAAAGGTTATCATTTAGTTATTACTTTATTTTTATAAAACACACACAAAAATAAATAAAACAAAAATAAGAATTTAAAGTGTAAACCAAATTTACCAAAATAAATTTGCTAAATAAATCATTTGTTAAATAGAGATTTAAAAATCCTCTTTTCATTTTGGGCGAACTGTATTGAATCCAATTGGATCATTTTGACCTGCAACACAATATTCATACACAGAATTCATACATGAGATGATGGTAATGTATTTCGTGACCATGTTTAACATATTTTTTGTTTAATTCTAGGTGCATCTTTCTTATTGTTTTGTTTGCCCAGTATTTACGGAACTGGGCTTGCCCTCTCCCAAGCTTTTCTAAAGAAAAAGGCTGTCATATAACCCACGTCCAAATTTTCAAGATGTTTCCGGTATGAACCAATATTCAACGCTCAGATCTAAATTACACCAACATGCATTTTGCCACAAAGTGCCAAGCAATACTGTAAATCAAACTAACAACACACACACACAGTACTTATCACTATTAATTAAACTACCAGATAACCCGCAGAACAAAGTCCCCATTACCACATGTGGTGCTTGTTATCAATGCGTTTACAGATTAAATTGCACTTTTTTTTCCCTTAGTAACTGATTATCCTGATTCCAGTAGATCATCATGGCTATTATGGTGGTTTGGCTGGTTTGCTACATCCTCACCCTGACCAATGTCCTGCCGGATGACCCAGATCTGTACGGCTACAAGGCTCGCACTGACGCCCGAGGCGATATTATGACCCAAGCACCTTGGTTTCGTTTCCCCTATCCATGTAAGAACACACACCCATGACCTATAACAACTTGTTTATCAGGAAATGTCACACACGACTAATATCTAATCTAAGACTTGCACTTTATTAACAGTAAAACAATTTGGAGATTGATTAGAGGGTTTTATATTGGTGGATCAATGGCTGGACTCTTTTCAAATGAAGTGATGTTGTTGATTTTGTGTGTGTCGCAGGTCAGTGGGGTTTGCCCACAGTAACGGTGGCGGGGGTGCTGGGCATGTTTAGTGCCACACTGGCAGGTATTGTTGAGTCTATTGGAGATTACTATGCCTGTGCTCGACTGTCTGGAGCTCCACCTCCTCCCGTGCATGCCATCAATAGGTAAATACAACAAGCATCAGTAGAAAGTTATACTACTATATACTAAGGTACATTATATTAGTATATATACAACAGTTCTGTTTGGTTCTTGAATCTAATTGGCTTATAGTCGTACAATAATCTGCATGTAAAATTTTTGGTTGGTCATCTGTTTGTTTCTAATGAGTCTCCTGTTTTTGTTACTGCTGACTAATTCAGTAAAAAGAAAGAAAAAAGAAATGCCCTCCCGTGTTTAGCATTTTACTTATCGCAAACACAACAGTAATCTGGTAGTGTTAGCGCTGCTTTGGCTTTTTCTGGGATAACTATTGTGATCTCCTGATTGCAGCAGAGATATACCGGGTAATCTCTGTAGACTGATGGTAATTCATGCCATTCAGCCTTATGTGAGCAAAATCGCCTGTTTTGTCATCACTTTAGACATTGCGCTAGAGAATCATTCAAACACTATAGTTCTAAAGTGACTTTATTAAAGTTGCAACGGTCTGTTCTGAAGTCAGCTGCAGATGTTAATGAATGGCGGAAGATAGTAGTTACTTTTACAAAAGGGTTTTTTGAGACTCTTCGTGTTTGATTTTCTTTTTTATATACACAATTTTGCCATTGAACTGTTGTATAAACGCAATATCACATGAGTAGCAGTATATCGTCACTGGTGGGACACTAAGGCACACACGCCTCCCACTAGTGCAGATGTACAGCCATATCGCACTGCTACTCGTGTGATATTGCTCATATATATATGGATTATCAAAATGGAAATTCAATAGTTTTTTATACCTCTGAAGCTTTTTTCCATATATGTTTGCATGTGTTTTTAGTTGAGTATTTTTTTTATTTATCAGGCAGGTATGGACTATATAGTGTGAGTTAAAAAAAAAAAGTGGTTGATTTAGATTAAACTGAGCAAGAATTTGCAATTTGGGGCATTTGCCTATATGTACAGTATTTGACCAAAAAGTCTTCTGTAAAACCACTGAATGTGCGCACAGTGAAATCTTTTTATGTAAAAGCAATTTTCACCAAAAAAATGGGGAGTGTATTTTACCACCAGTTACAAAGGAAACAACTGAAATGAATTAATCTTTGATATGTTGAAGCAGAAAAAGTAAAATAGTATATTCTTGTTAAACAATCTCTTTGGTACAACAAACAAATGACGGTTTATCATTTACACATCAGGAATGTTCTAAAACATTCCTTGATATTTAAAATTACATAGGAGCCTCATTAAACAACTATGCTTGCAATAAAATAAATATAAATATTTTTCATTACTTATGACAAATTTAATTTGCTCATATGTTACATTACATGTAAAAGAACCCACTTTCTAAATTTGACATAAGTAAGGTTAAAAAAGAGGTAAATTGGACATTTTCCTCATGAATGCTCAAAATCAGTCACGGTTTATGAAACCTCTAACAAAACAACATCAAAACAGCAGAATAAATTAATTTTACTTGCATACACTGCCACTTACATATAAAAAAGAATAGAAAATCATAGAAAATTTACATTTTTATTTAGTGTTTTGAGTCTAATTTAATTTTAGAGATAATTTTACAAAAGTCATATTAACCTAAAAGTGCTCCATAACTAGGTCTCAATTGACCCAAATATGAAAATTTAATTTAAATCTTAATCATCCTATTTCTTAAAAAAAAAAATTAAAATAAATAAAATAAATAAATGTTTTGTTGCCTTATTACAAACTATGCATTTGTTATAAATCATATGTTAAATCTCTGCCCAAATTCATTATAGGGTTTGAAATACACAGTATTTGTTCTTGTTAATTCATGTATAATGAATGTTTTATCACTATCTGTTTTCTTTCCAAGAGGGATCTTTACAGAGGGAGTGTGCTGCATCATAGCAGGACTGCTAGGAACAGGAAACGGTTCGACCTCTTCCAGTCCTAATATAGGGGTGCTTGGCATCACAAAGGTGGGAGCTTTAATATTTGTACTGTTAGAATAAGTGCAGTAAGTGCATTTCTAATATCTGATCAGAGTCCTTTCAGGGAGTAGATCTGAAAGCGAGAACTATTCATTACACATCTGTTGTCTGCTTGGCTTATCTGTTTACAGCCTCATCCTTCATTTTGAACATTTGTTTTGCAATGACAAGCTGTGGTGTCTCTATTTTCTCTTTCAGGTTGGAAGCAGGAGGGTGATTCAGTATGGAGCTGGCATTATGCTTATTTTGGGAACTATTGGGAAGTTTACTGCTCTGTTCGCCTCCTTACCTGACCCCATTCTTGGAGGGATGTTCTGCACATTGTTTGGTGAGGGTTGCCAAATAACTTGAATGAAAAAAAGCCTGCCTGAAAAATCGCTTGATAATGTCATTTGCTAATTAGCATATTAGCACCTAACATTAGATCCTTTTTATACCGCCTATTTCTATTTTGATACAGACAAATCACCCTAAACTGCTTTCATTGACGTATTTTTATGTTTCTGTTGTCATATGTTGCAAAAAACTTTCAATATGAAACTAAAACATGGATTTATAAATGTAATGTTTTCCTACAAACCACTACAAAACGTAAACCACTGTGGCTGAGGTGCCATTTTCAATAGAGGCCTACTTTTGAAATGAAAATGGGAAAACAGAGAACACCTTAAAATTTTGTGAGCCTGGACATCAAACGTTCTTTTGTTTTTATGTCAATAGCTAAACATGTATTTGTCAAAGTTATAGATTTTTATTCAGAAAAGCATTAGAATGTTAAGTAAAGATCATGTTCATTGCATGAAGACATTTGGTGAATGTCCTACTGAAAATATATTAAAACTTAATTCTTGATTAGTAATTTGTATTGCGCTTAATTTGGACAACTTTAAAGGCAATATTATAAATATTTTCATTGTTTGGAAACATCATTCCAGATTGTCACATAGTGGTATTAGTTTATTTTTGGCTTCGTGTGATAGTTAATAAACAACAGATCTCAAAATGTAATCGGAATATAACCAAAATGGCTCCTTGTAACAAAACATTGGAAACATTGAAGCATTGTGAGGGTTGTTTAATTTTGTGGCAAAAAAAAAAAAAAACAGGAAGTAGGAAAACTGCAGATGTTTTGAGTCAGCTTTATCCACAGGGTGTCAGTAAAGAGCTCAGAAACACTGCACATTTGGGCCTTTACTATCGAGATACAAACGTTTGAATCTAGATTGAATGAATGAATTAATTAATTAATTAATTAATTAATTAATTAATTAATGAATGAATAAAGTTTTATTAGCTACGACCCTGGTCTAGGGTCAAGGGCGTAATATAAAAAAACACTGGACAAATAAAATTCACTTTTAAGAACCTTTGGAGTCAGGTTGGTTTATTTGTTTGTTTGTTTTTGTGTGTGTGTGTGTGTGTGTTTGTGTGTGTGTGTGTGTGTGTGTGTGTGTGTGTGTGTGTGTGTGTGTGTGTGTGTGTGTGCGCGTGTGTGTGCGCGTGTGTGTGCGCGTGTGTGCGCGTGTGCGTGTGTGTGTGTGTGTGTGTGTGTGTGTGTGTGTGTGTGTGTGTGTGTGTGTGTGTGTGTGTGTGTGTGTGTGTGTGTGTGTGTGGTCTTTTTCTCTCTTTTTTTTTTTTTGGTCTTTTTCTTTTTTTAAACACCCAAATGTGAAGCCAAATACCTCAGAGAGGACCCACAGAAAAATAATAAACATTTACACTACCTAAAGACCCAAATGAAACTAAATACACCTAACAAAATAACAGAAATAAAAAATACAAAAACTCCTCCTATCTCCCTGACTATGTTTAAAAACAAGAGAAAATATTAACAGAAAACAAAACAATTCTGAAAGGAAATATTTAAATACATTAACAGAGTACTTTTATTCATTCATTTTCTTTTCAGTTTAGTCCTTTTATTAACCAGGGGTCGTCACAGCGAAATGAACCGCCAACTTATCCAGCATATGTTTTACGCACCGGATGCCCTTCCAGCCGCAACCCATCACTGGGAAATACCCATACACCCTTATATTCACACACATACATTATGGGGCAATTTAGCTTATTCAACTAATCTATAGCACATTTCTTTGGGCTGTGGGGAAAACCGGAGCACCCAGAACAAACCCACACCAACACAGGGAGAACATGCAAATTCCACACAGAAATGCCAATTGACCCAGCCAGGGCTCGAACCTGTGACCTTCTTGCTGTGAGGCGACCATGCTACCCACGGCCACACCATGATGCCAATATTTAAAAACACTAAATACAACATTTTAAGTCAGTTTATATGTTAAATAAAAGAATACTTTTGTTCAGCATGGATGGAAGAATATAATTATAAAAAAAGGACGGTAATCTGCCGTTCAAGCAATGCGATTATTTTGAACTTTCTGCTCATCATAAATATTACAAAAAAATTGTTTCCACCAAAATCTTTGGCTATTTTTCAACAAACATTAAAACAAAATCTTTGTTGATCACCAAATCAGCATATTACATTATTAAGATGTCAAATGATCATGGAGGAATGTTGAGAATTCAGCTTTAAATCGTAGTTTTCTTCTACAAAATAAACATTTGACATCATTTTTTCATTAAATTAATACAAAAGAGACTTTGAGAAGCATAAAATAAAATGTTACTCAACCCAAACGTCAGACGTTATTGGCAGTGCACATCTATTTATTGAAGTTTAAACTTGTTTTTTTGTTTTGTTTTGCACACAGGTATGATCACAGCTGTCGGCCTCTCAAACCTACAGAGTGTCGATCTGAACTCCTCCAGAAATCTTTTCGTTCTGGGTTTCTCCATGTTTTCTGGCCTCATGCTACCGAATTACCTGGATGCTCATCCAGGGAGCATCAAAACAGGTTAACATGTCTTTCAACAAAAAATATAAGAGCAAGTCAAATCTGTCTATATGAACACAAACGTTCTGATTGATTTCAACAGGTGTGGCTGAGCTTGACCAAATCATCACAGTGCTCCTGACAACAGAGATGTTTGTTGGGGGATTCTTAGCATTTGTACTTGACAACACAATCCCAGGTATAACCGTGGACTTATTCTTCAGATAATAAGCCAACAAAGACAATTCATGCTTGCCATTTTGTACGCAGGCACCAGAAAAGAGCGAGGCCTGGTTGAATGGGTGGATGAGGGTTCTTCAGGAGCAGGAACAGTAAAATCAGACACATATAACTTTCCGATTGGGATGGGACTGGTCCGGAAGACAGGCTGTCTGCGCTACCTGCCTATCTGTCCCACTTTCCGGGGCTTTAAGTCATCATGCCGCAAGAACAAGGAAGAGGAGGATGAGGAGGACATAAAAATAAAGGAAGGTGTAACTGATGCTCCCATTGAAATGGTCTGCACCAAAATTTAGGCGTATTTTTATAGTTTGACAAGGTTTAGAATAGTGTACATTGTTTGGTTGGAATGTTTTCTCAGCTGATGTACAAAATCCATTCAGTTTTGCTTTAAAGAATGGGTGGAATTTATTTATAGTAAAACTGAAATGACAGTTTGAGTACAATGAGTCTCTATAATCAAATGTAGTTTGATTTGATTATAAAGCATTAGGTAGTTTATTGAAATGACTTGAAAAGGAAATGAAGGTCAGGCTTTGTTCATTTATTATATCTTGATTGTGTACAAAACATGGCAGTGATTAACACTAAACAAAACGTGTTCAGCTTTGAAAAAAGTTACAAAATGACATTTTTTAAATATGCAAATCATAATGTATATACATAATGTTGTAACTAATAATGTTTAAACATACTAAGAGTGAACTGTGCGTTCCAGAAAAGCCACAGAACAAACAATCATGTGGACATTCAGTTTTGATAAATACATGCTTAAGTTATTTTGTATTAAAATACAACTTTATTGTCTGTCTGTTTGTCTGTCTGACGGTTTTGATCTATTGGTAAAGGTTTAAAAGGATATCATTAATTGAAACATGTATGGAGATGAAACATTCGACAGATTATTAACCTATTTTAATGTTCATTTAGAAATGCAGTTTTAAAAAAAAATGTTAAATGTATTAGTTTAACTGATACTGATGAATATAAAATGATAGTATAAATGTATTGTAACATTAACCAATTAGTAAATGCGGTCACACTTTACAAGGCGTTTTTATTAGGTAAAGTTAGTTAATGTATTCACTAATGTAAACAACTAATGAATAATACTTAGACAGTGTTTATTAATGCTTATTGAAATCAAATTCACCCTTGTTAACATTAGATAATGCACAACTAACAATGAACAACTTTGTTTATTAACTAACTTTAACATGGATGAATGCTGTAAGAGAGGCATTATTCATTGTTTATTTATGTGAATGCTGTGAAAGTACAGCCTATTGTTAGATCCTAATGCAAAAAGCATTAACCCATTTAAACCAACTGAACCTTGTTGTGTCGAGGAACCACTTCATTTTTTACAACTACATTTTCAGCATCAAACAGTAATGCTGCAATAAAGATGTATTGGCTTTGATTCATTGCAGCCCGGAAGGTCTGATTTACTGCAGTGTTTGCTCTTAAGCTAAATTGATTTAGTATCATGCTGAAGGATCAGCCCTGTTTAATTATCTTTATTGATTTAAATGTCTGTTTATTGTCCACTCTCTCGCTGTCCTGGCCTCTTCAGATTTGACACCAGAACATTCAGTCATGAGGCAGTAGTATCAGTTATATATATAGTCAATAATCCATCCTGAATCTCACATAACGGATCAGTGGATTGAAACGGGCTTGCGTAAACAAGTGTCAGGTGTCAGCAGGAGAACAATAAACACATTTCAAGAGGTAATTCAGTTTACAACCGGATCACGTAAAAACATTTTGATTAAAAATGTCATTAGCGACACTAACAATTAGTTTATTCATGTGTATAAATTTGAAAAACTAAAGCGTTTTCAGGAAATGATTAGGAAAGCAATGGTTTGCAAATGGTTTTGCTCAAATTGCCATTTAGTAAATTCAAATACAATTTACAATAACAAAATAGTGACTTTTGTCATATTTGATAAACATGCTGAAGACACTCAGGTCCCTTGGTGAGTCTCAATTGCCCATACCAGAGGTGATCTGAGCCCTTTTCCCTTTAAAGCCCCTGCTCTGTTTATATAGCCTGAAAGTGTGAATGCTAATGCATCTTACAACATTTCAGCAGATATAATCAATCTCACCCATGTCAGTTGCCAAGTCCAGAGGTAGCCTTTACGAAGTAAGGAGTGTTGAATGCAGTGCTAACAGAAAACGCTTTCAGTTTTGATGCCTTGAGGCCAGGGCAGCAGATGGTCAACATGTTTCACTCATTCAGTAGCTTATAAACAACACCCATCCAGCACTTAATGGGCACTGGGTAATCTGAGCCTTGGGCTTGACTTAATATATTCTGTAGTCTATAGGTCCTGTCAGGTTTCACGGTCCCGGTGGCGGGAGCACCTGATGGTGTGACTGTATGTAAGGTAAGCACTGTGGGGTGTACATGGGTGGGATGTGAAGAGAGGCAAAAGGTATGGCACACGGCGTGGGTATAACCGCACTGGGAAGTGCCTGCTGTGGTAGTAAAACCTCAACATACTGGCAAGTTTCTGGATCGAACAGCATCTTGCGCTGTGGCAGCTGAGGCATGTCAACATAGAAATAGCGTCCAGTTTCCGGATCTAGCAACAGTTGGCGAGAGCTTGCTGCTACACTTCCTCCTGCTTCTGAATAAAGCACACCTGCACCATCAAGCCTGGCCTCTGCACTCATGGGAGCAACAAAGATTGTGTTGTGTTGGGTTTCTGAAGAAGGTGCTTTCAGTTGTGGATCTTCTTTCTGAGCTTGACTGGTTGAGCCATCTGTTGGCTGTACTAGCGTTTTTCCATCTTCCGAAAGAAATCTCAGCAAGGGGGTATGGCTATTTGGTGCAGGAGACTGGTTGTAAAGAGGTGTTTGAAACAAGACAGGCCCTTGAACGTAGCTATGAACTGCACCAATATGAGGAGAGACTGTTTGGTAACCCAGTACATTGGGTTTGTAATAATAGGAAGGAACCATAGGAGTTGAAGCTACTGTTAGGACACAAGCAGAGAACTGAGGCCCAACTGAACTCTGTGACCTGGGAGGAAGGGATGAGGTCTGGAGGCCATCACTAATTATCTTACCATGGTCCTGTTGCTCAGAACTTGTGAGCAAACCATACTGCAGTGCTGGGAAAAGATGATCCTTGTCAGAGCTCCTTGTCAACTCTCCTTTTGTAGTCATATCAGTCGAAGTCTCCTCTCTAGGTTGCATTGCCGGGTCTGACCTGTTTGTTGGTTTCATATTTGAATCAATGACCGTGACATCAGATTTACTGATAGCAACTTGGCTGTCCTGTGTCTCTGAGGGTTTTGACGAGGCACAGCTGTTTGCCTTAGTTGCACTAATTGGGCTGACCTTTGTGAATCCAATAATATGACTTTTGTCATTTGATTCCACAGAAGGCATTACCTTAGCTGAGCATCCTCTTGGTGCAGAGTGATCTCTCCTTCTCTCCAGTGGTAGAGGTGGAGTGACTTTCCGCAAAAGGGGTCTTTCATCTTGCTTGTATCCCTTTCCCTTTGCTTCATTTTTGTTGCTTAGATTGTGTATTGATGACTGAAACAAAGCAGCACTCCCTTCTATTCTGTGGGTTGATTCCCCTGGGCCCTTGAAGGATTTGTTATATGTGTTTTTCACTAGGCTTCTCATGTCTCTTACTACATGGACAGGGGCTTTCAATTTGCCTTGACTTTGCATAGCTAGGCTTGCAAACAGTCCTGGTGATTTAAAATCCTCTCTGCTACTTTCCTGATTTTTCCCAACACCACAGTCATCAGTTTTGGGGGTTGTATTATCTACAGCATTTGCTTCCAAATCCGATATCAGGCAGGTAATATTAGTAGGACTGAGTGTACTTTCTGTGCTTCCAGCCTGTTCCTCCTGTATTTCCAGCACATTGGTTCGGGTCATATTGTGTTGTTTATGGATTCCCTGGCCTGTATGGCATTCTTCAGGTGTGGTTTTCACAGAAGTCTGTGTGCTGATGGCTACATTTGTTGCTGCACTCGAGTTCCATGTTCTGCCCTTTGCTGAGTCACAGGATAGCTTCACTCCAGGGCTCAGGTTAGGGAGCTGCAATGCCTCCTCTCTTGAGTTCAACTTCTCTGCTTTCTCATTCTCTGAAGCGTCGGTTATTTCAGTGCCACTGCCCTTAACTTCAGACTTACCAGTTCCACTTAAAAGAGGACTGAGGCCATGTTTACTTAACAGTTTGGGTTGTGGTTTTGAGTTAAAACTGCAGTGCATTTGAACCGAGTTACTTTCTGTCTCTCTCTTAAGGGTTGCATTTTGATATGTTTTTGTAGTTTCAGCATATACATCCTTGCCAGACACATACAAACATTCATCAGTTGTAGCAGTTCTGATGTTCACTTTGGTTGATGCAAATGCTTTATCCGAAACATCCAAGGTACGAAGATTCTGTTCATGTTGCATCTTTTTTGATAGGACATTTGCTATTATTGAGGAAGCCATTTGAGTTTTGCTGGAAGTTTCATCAAGAGAATATGATTTTTGAAGTTTTTGCTTCCGCTCGGACTGTACTAATCTTTGATCAGCCACATGAGGCTCCTGGTTTAAAGCTGCAGGGGTGCTATGTTGACGCTGAAACATGTCCCGAGGATGCACATGCGTGTTTACAATCTCATGGTTTTGACTGTTGTTCTCTCTGACCTGTGCCTCTGCTGTGTCCCGTCTCTTCAGTTGAATTTGTCTTTTGGGAACAGTCTTTAAGCCTCTGTTTACTTCATCTGTGGTTTCCAATGCCACATCAACACACTCAAAGCTGCTGGATTCTGAGCCAGCAGATGTGTTCTGAGTCTTTGAATACATCTGCATTTTGAAAGCAAGAACATCCTCTGTCCATTTGTTGTGGTTTCCATCAGAAGGTAGCTGACTTGCAGGCCTACAGCTCGAGCCGAAAACATGCATGTAGTCAGTTTCAGAACAGGAAGATCTTACCTGGGCCAGGTTAACAAAGCCCCCCACCTCACTACTGGCCTCAGCAAGCTTTGTTCCCATGCTGATTGATCCACTGGTACTGTCTGTAATGTGGCAGGTTTGGCAAGAGCTGCTACTCAGCATGCGGGAGAATGGTCTGGACTGCCAGACGCCTTGCCGGCTCTGCTTTTCCAACCTCCGGGTATCAGCAAGACTCTGTAGCTGGTGTTGGTGCCTGGTTGCGGGGATACGCTCTGAATAACAGTGTGGCGGGATTCTTGACTCCTGTTTGCTGGCTGTGAGTGTTAAGATAGAGTTTGCAGACGCTTTTCTATTTCTAGACCTGACTGACAGCTCAGGCTGGTCTTTTCTGCAACTCACCACTCTACCCTCCCCCTCCTCTTCCATATGACCCAGAATATGCCCGCCTCTCTCAAGCCTGCATTTAGGGCTGGGTGCACTCAAACCATCTCTGGGTCTTTGCTTTTGTGTCGCGTGGTCCTCCTTTGGCTCTGTGCCACCATGCTCCTGTTCCCGACCCTTGCTGTATTGATTTCTGTCAGGCGTTATCAAAATAGTGTTTGAAGTGAATCCGGGTTCTGGGGAGCAGTGCTCCTCAGCGGTTCTAATGTTAGTGTGAAATACAGTCCTGCTGCCTCCAATAGAATCCCCCGGTTTAACAGATGAACCTTTTTCTGATATATTAAGCTCATCAGAATGATCCTGGCTTTGTGAAGGGTTTGTCTTTACAGACTGCAAATTCACATTTGTTATTGTTGTACATAAAAGCAGATGTTTTGACTCAGACTCTAACATAAGAGTATCTCTCTCAGATAATGATTGATCCTCTTCATATTGGGAGACCTCAGGCCACACTTCTGTACATTTGTATTCTTCTGTTTTGCAGTCCTCAAGTAATGTGGTGGCTTTGATCAAGGGTGTTGAAGTGGTGCCTTGCACAGAGGTAGAACAATCTGAGAGCTTGAATGAGTCACCTTTAATAGGACGCTCTGTGTGTGTCCTATCATCAAATGCTTCACTGTACTCACTCAGAGAACAAAAAGCAGTGTAGTATGAACTTGCTGAGTCATCAGTGATATCATTAGCTTGCTCTAGGTCACCTTCCTCTTCATCTCTTTCTTGGAAAGGAGGGCTGTTTTTTTCTCTCACAGATGGAGATGACTTAAACATTTCTTCTTAAATTTCCTTCAGTGGTGTCTGAAACGTTTTGATGTAGTGATAAAGGACACCCAAATGTTAGCTGGATATGCAGGTCAAACCTACAGAGCAGGAATATCTGCAATTCAGAGAAAAAAAAACACTGTTGAAATATGAGATCACACATTTAAAGTCCAGCTACTCCAAGCTGCCCAAAATCGTCTCCATTTTGTTGAAACCTGAATGAAAAGTCAAGTTAACAGTTAAGTCAAGTTAACAGCGAGACATATATGACAAGCAAAAAGGCTAAGTGCTCTTCTATAAAAGTATACCAATCATGGCACTGTAGAGGAAATGAATCAGACCTTATTTTTTGGCTGCTAAGGTCTGGTTCAGGATTTGTATTCCAGGCCCAGTAGTAAGGTAGTAGGGTAGCAGTCAGCTTTGAAAGCAGGTGCTGGTGTGCCTGTGCTGGACCGTTCCCTCAGGAATCTGACTAACATAGCCAGTGTAGTCACAGGGGCAGCTAAATATAGCTTCCCCAGGCCCCATAACACTATCATCAGGGAGATAGGGCTCAAGTCTTGTGGGTATACTGTGGTAAGTATTGAGCCTTTAAATGGCCACTACAAATAGAAGGGTCACGCTGGTTACAAGGGTATCATTTGATGGTGTAAATTTGTTCTTTTTTAAAGTAGCCATTAAAGGTGTCACTACATCTAAATTAACTGTAGACTGATCTGAACTTTCCTCTTGTAAAGTAAATTTCGATGTGAAATGCAATTCGGTTACATCATGTGTACTGACAACTTAACTATTGGAAGAAGCACTGTTGTTCGAAAGCACAAAGTTGTTCGAGAGCAGATGTGCACTTCCTCTCAAGTGTTTCTTGTTTGTTGCCAGCCAACTGCGGGAGTTTCACTGAATTGGACATGACCATCCAGGCCATGACAGCTATGGCATTTGACCCACTTGGTCTCGGCTGTGTCTGATGGTTTAATGACATGATATAGTGGGCAGCAAGGATATAAGACTGCTTAATTTCACACCAGCGGTGCTCCAAAAGTTTCTTATCCGCATAGTAACACATACATCAAATCTGAGGGGACCACCGACACTGTGGTGTTAAGTTGTGCGAAGTGAATAGCATTACAGAGATTTAAGAGTATTAGCCTATAACATAACTTCCATATTAGCATTTCACCCTGTACTGTGGTTACGCTTTTCACATATGGAAATATGAAACATATAATACACAATAACACAGAAGATTTCTTTATTAGTATTTACATTTGTGCATTTAGCAGACTCTTTATCCAGAAAGATTTGCTATAAAATAATATACAAACCTTGGTTTAAAGTTGCGAAGAGCATCTCTCACAAACGTAATATGGCTATGCAATCCTTTATAGGATGTCAGTCTTTGATCATCTCTGTGCCGTTTGTATTTAATGATTTGGATGACATGTTCAAAATATGATACTCATGTCTGTATCATTCCCAAATAAATCATAAAAAAAGTGATATTTAGTGGATTAATGTCTTCCCATACAGTTTGCACGGGTGCTTTTGCATGTTGAACAGACATCACTATGTTACATGTATTATTTTATATTATATATACATTTATATAAACTATATATATTATACAGGCCCGTAGCCAGGGGGGTTCGGGTGGTTTGGAAGACTCACCCCTCCCTGACAAAGGTCCAGAATTTGTCACACACATGAGCTCATTTGTCTTGTTTTGACTGCCATCATAAATTGTGAAAGGAACCTTTTAAAAAAGGCTTTAAGACCAAGCGGAATCGTCTGTTGGCTGTTGCTTCAGCGTTTTTTCAGCTGATCACTTTTGGTCAATGCAAAGTATTTTTTTTCATGAGTCCAACATCTAGCTGTACAAGAAAACATACAATCTGATGTGAATGACATCACTGCTGGCCTACTGTATTGTTTTTATTTTACCAGTAACTTTTATTCTAAATCTTGGACTTTTTCTTGAAACAAAAAAATGAGCAATAAAAAAGTGTGAAGCACCAAAGGCGGATCATATTAAAATTGATTTAAATACTTATTTGGCTATAGTTGTTGTCCATGAATTTTCGAATGTACTTTTTTACAAACGATGCTTGAAAAATTTAGAGGGTTTTGGCTGCAGAATTAGTGCAGAGCAAACTGAACTTCATGCAGTGCTTTTTAATGGACTCACCTAACCCCATCCCTAACCCTACTCTTCACAGTGACGTTACTAGCTCCATTAAGTGCATTGTGTCTGAATGTTCTGGCCAGTTTTTAGGCTGTTCTTACAGTTTTAGTTTAAAAATATTATCAGACTCCTGTTTTTGTAATGATATGATGTTATACATTTGTATTTTAAAAATAAGTGTTCATATTTCTTTTCTGAATCTTGAGAATATTTTTGGTTTATCAAAAAGGGGTTATGATGACAAGCTGATCCCGCTAAAAATAGTGCTTAAATGTCACTAAAGTCAAGTGCAGTATTTAAATCTCACGAATAAATACAATATAAGGCAAAAAACTGTAAATAGGTCCACTTTTGAGAAAAAAAAAGAACCATTTCTTTCACCAGGCTGGCTACGGGCCTGTCATATGTGGATTACTATGAATAAGGTCCTGTATCTGATAAGGTTTGGTCCTTAGGTTTTTAGTGGTGAAGGGTCCATCTGCTGGCCAAATACAGACAGAACATCTCATAAAATAAAATTCACATTATTAAATAAATCTCTTCTTTTCGTTGTTTGTCTGATAATCCCAAGGAGCTTTCATCCTATACGTTTGCTCAAAAAGATATTACTTAATAACTTGTATTTTGTAACTTGTATTTATATAACTTATTTTGAAAAATTATTTAGTCAAATGTAAGTACTCGATTTGACTTTTGAAAGAGCTTTGCAAAAGGAATACTGTCATTACAAGACAAATTATATAGATTTAAATTATATATATTAATTAGGACTACACTATTTCTTAGTCCATTTAGTAAGAAAACAGGTATTTTAAACTGAAATAATATTTTATTTTTTATTAAAATATTTCTAGCCTTTGAGAGAGTTCATACAAAGTAAAAATCTTAATATTGCCGATCTTTTGATTTGTGTTTGTGTTTTATTTATTCCTTTTTCTACACCTTTTGCTCATGTTCCTACCGTTGTAGGCCTAATCCAACTATTTTTGCCATGCTATTTGTACATGTTGTATATGTTCAGTTAATTAATGTTTATTTATGTGTTAAAACTAAGATTGATTTTTTTTTAATTTATACATTTTACAGATATGCACTTTTAAACAGCTCTATCTTAACCATAAACAATTAAATATCAATGGTTCTGTGAGTAATAATAATAACAAAGTTTGTAATCAATGTAAATAAGCTAATTGTATTTTTTATTAAATTTCCTACATAAAGATCTCAAAATAACTTTAACAAGGCTAATCTCTGAACCACAATCACCACACTTCACCTGTAGATTTAGATGAATACATAAAGCCCATCTATACACAAACATGTCTGTCTTACATCCATTATTGTTTTAATCAAGATGACGAGTCTCAATTGTTTAATACATGGCTAATCTTCATGTCCGCGCCTGGACTCCTCCCCGTTCAGCGACCATGCAGATCCGAGCATCAACATCATTCAGATCTGCTCCTCTCAGGCCGCTGGGGGAGCAACACCGCACGGGACGGCTAAAAAAGTCAAACGGGTTAACTTGGATACGCACGCGGCGGTGTTTTGATAGAAAAAAAACGACCCAACTGCTCACCGATTTGACTTTGTGTTTCCCGGGAAGCATTTACTTGATATGGGATTTGTTTCGAGAAGTACACACGCGTGCAGTTGAAGGATTTAACTCCAGTATGCGGCAGTTCTGAAACAAAGAGCTCTGGAGCGCCCTTGTCTCAGTGGTAAGACGCGCTGTCGCTTTTATGTGGATCTTTAAACCAGTTACTACTATGTAATGTTTGTTTTTCTGTTTCTAATGCTTTAGTTTTGGATGATTATCATGTTTTTCTTGAAACTCTTTGCTTTATTCGTTCACAACATGCATGTGATCTGGGTATCGCTCGTGGTGTGCCGCAGGGGTGGATGTACGACGCCGGTCACTTTCATTTCATACACGTTTTGTTTGTGTTGTAGTTTATAAAGTAACATTAGAATTGCTTAAATGTGTTACTGGGCCATTGTTTTATGTTATCAGTTGAGTGTTCCACTAATAATGAAGACAAAGTCGTGATTTTTCGTGTTGAAGAACTGCTTGAACTTTGTCGGACGCTTTAAAGCTCAGTAAATTTAGAAATGATTTTGTCCACTTATCTTGTTTGGTTTCCCTTTAAGAGCTGTGACATTTTCCCGTCAAACAGGCCTTAAATAGAAGTGCTGTTGTAGAAGTATCTAAACTGAACAAGATTTGCTGCTTTCTCTCTTTCACACTCGTATTTGTGTTTTAAGGATTGGGGGCCTTTCTGGATGGGAAAGATGGAATCGGAGGGCCAGTGGTGGAAAACCCAGCTCGCAGCGGACATCCATCAGGCATTGCGAATTAAGGTGAGTTGTAGTAAACTGACGTGTTTGTCCACCAAATCTGGGTTATATTCTTTATACAGGTTTTGGTTGTGACAAATTGAATCAGTGTTGGTTTGACTTGTTCAAGCTGTGATAGGGACGTGTGAAATGTCACACGGCCCTTAGAAAACATCCCTTGATTGTGGTTTTATGATGGTTCTTGGCTAACACATCATCTAGTATGGGCTGTTTCTGATGGTATGATAACATGGATAAAATATCACAGTTTTGTGATTAATGCTCTAAAATAAGTTATTTTTTATATGGCTTAGTAAAAAAACAACAATTCATTTTAGGAAACATTTAAGATATTTTAGAGCAGTAAGCATGGCTTGCTTTAAACTTTGTTAAACATGGTTATTGTCCCATGCCTAGTCTACATTCATATTCAAAACAATGTTTATTGTGTTATTGAACATCAGTTACTGTCCAAGAACCTAAAGCAAATTATATGCCCTTTTTGGCACAACCCATTTGTAGTTTAGTTTTACTTTATTCTTTTTTATTAATTTTGCTTTAAACGTACTCTCATATATGTTAAAATCATTTAATAATATAGTCTTTTATATTAAATTAGTGTTTTACCTGGATGCAAATTATATTGACAACTGATTTATTTATATATAAATGTTTTTATTACAGCGTTTTAGACATTTCTGCAGCAGTTCATTTAAATATGTTGAAGCTTCAAAGCTTCATTAAGCTAAACGGCAATTTCCTTAAATTTTCTTTCACGTTCAACTGTCAAAATATTCATTTATTCATTTTCTTTTCGGCTTAGTCCCTTTATTAATCTGGGGTCGCCACAGCGGAATGAACTGCCAACTTATCCAGCATATGTTTTACGCAGCGGATGCCCTTCCAGCTGCAACATCCTTACACTCTCATTCACACATACACTACAGACAATTTTAGCTTACCCAATTCTCCTGACTTGTGGGAGAAATTGGAGCACCTGGAGGAAACCCATTCAAACATGGGGAGAACATACAAACGCCACACCGATACGCCAACTGACCCAGCTGAGGCTTGAATCAGCGACCTTCTTGCTGTGAGGCGAACGTGCTACCCACTGCGCCACCATGCAGCTATATATATATATATATATATATATATATATATATATATATATATATATATATATATATATGCTTATTCTGACCTGTACTAATCGTATTATTTTATACTAATTGGTATTAATGATATCAAATATAAAGATTTAAAATGTCAATATATTGGTATTTTGGATGGTAATCTATTACAACATAGTAGGGCTGCACGATACAGGAAAAATTACACATGACAATTTTTTTCTTCTGCGATGTATATTGCGATATGAATACAATTTCACTAGATGAATTGAATAAATGTTTAAGTTTAGATTGACTGGGAAGATTGCATAAAATATAATTCAAGTGTAATTTTTACAGCACTAGAGCACAATAAGTCTTGTATAATAAGCATAATATTTTTATTTATGAACACAATAATCGACAGGCGTAGATATTTAATAAAGAAAAATAAGCTAATTAAATATACAGCATTTTACTGTTTTGTGAAACCTTGAAATGCATTCGGATATACAGTAAATGAATAATCAAATGTGAAATAATACAGCATAGTCTTTGTCATATAAACAATTCCATAAAATAAATCATTATTAATTTTTCAAAGTTACAAACGGTACATTTACATAAGCCTGAATGCTTTTAAAACCCTCACACTGTCACAGGCCCCTCAAAAAACGTGCAAAATGGTAAATCTTAATCCATATTTATAAATTATAAATATAAAAACATTGCGTATACTTGCGATGTGACTTGCAAATGATCACATTGCGATATCGATGCCAAAATGATATATTGTGCAGCCCTACTACGTAGTGTGTGCTTTTATAATAAAAATGTGAACAGTTATACGTTTTTGCTAAGTGTATGTCATTATTGCTACATTTGCTTTTTGAGTGTGTGTGTGTGTGTGTGTGTGTGTGTGTGTGTGTGTGTGTGTGTGTGTGTGTGTGTGTGTGTGTGTGTGTGTGTGCGCGTGCGTGCGTGTGTGTGTGCGCGCGTGTGTGTGCGTGCGTGTTGGAACACTAGGAAGTATATTGCTAAACCATGTGAACTTTTGTTTCCTTACCGTTGAGTATATTGCACCCATCAGATGGTGAGGTTTAAGTGCATTTATTTAGTGCGGTCCGTTGTCCTTTTATTGTCTGTCCTGTTTATGGCAGGCTGTGCTCACATCCGGTTTGGAATGTGAAGTGCTCTGTTTGTCTGTGTGTGTTTGCACTTGAGTTTGTCTGTTAGTTTGAGATTACTGGACTAAACAATCCTGCTGGCTTTGCTTAGTGTGTGCCAAGGAAAGACAAAATGATGTATGTGATTTGAAAGCAGCTTAAAAATGTATATTAGAGCACTAAATGAAATCCTGCGATTATGTAGGACTATAGATTTTAGTGTGGTTCAGCTGTTTGGGGAAATATTTAGAGTCTGAAGGTTTGGTGTTGGTGGATTTTGTTTGGACGACAATCTCCCTCTCTGTTTGCTTATAGATAATAATGTGCAGAAATGTTGGAGATTGTTCTTCACACAAATAAGCTGTGGTTTGATTTTATGCTGCATGTGGGAGCTTTACCTCCTACTACTTCAACGCTGAAAGTCTTTGCAGTTAATTGTAATCTTTGAGGAGGTTAATTAGCAGCCTTGCTCATGTTTTTATAATCACTTTTTAGATATTTCTTCTGCAATTTAGTTAAATATTCACTAAGCTGAATGGCAGTTTCTTAATATTTTCTTCCACGCTCAACTGTCAATTTCCATTTTAGCCATGCGCAACCCATAAAAGCATGAAACCACCAAAAGTGGTGCAGATTTAGTTTTAGTTCCTCTAAATTTGTCTTACTGAAATCTTCTCCTGAAAATGATTTGCATCAAGATATGCAGTTGACAAACTGATCGGCCATTCAGAAACAGCAGCAGCTGTAGGCCTGTCTAAATTGCGGGCAGGCCCCACAAAAGGGCTCGTTGAGAGGGTCAAATCGCAGCCCCTCACCCCACAGGGGACAGATGGCAGTGAGACACGATGGCTCGGCCTGTAAACGAACCAGTGCTTTCCTGAACAGCCACTATAAAGCAGTATGCTCGGCTTATGGGACTGTCTGGAAAGAGTTTGACAATTTAGCCGCTTATTAAGTGTGACTGAAGTGTTTTTTTGAGGGTTTGTTTGAGGAGTTGTAGTACTTTCTATGCAGTTGTTATTAGTTGTAATTGTCAAGATTTCCTTGATTACAAAGTAAAAATTGGAGTCTGTTTGAGTATTTATGTATGTACATGTGTAGGTATACAGTAGTCAACATTTGAAGTGGATCAAAACCTTTTATCAAAGTTGCCCTAAAACTATTTGAACAACTCCCATTTTTCAAAACTCCCAGAATTTTGATGAGCTTTTTTGATCCACTTTAAGTGTTGACTTCATCTGTGTACGTAAGATATGTAGAAATGTGAATACATACAATGTCTTTAATGAAATCTTTTCTGGTTATGCAAAATAATCATAAAAAATTGTTAAATGTTTTAAGGTAAGCATTTTATACTATCAGTTTACTGTATTAGCATGCTGATTACAGAGCTGGTTTTACTGTCAAAGTGCGCAAAAAAAATCGCCTTAGTTTAATCGCGCAGCCATAAATAAACTCAATTAATTTATAAATTAACAAAGTAAATACTAAATTAGCCTCAACTTATATTCAATTGATTTTGTAATGTGTTTGGCATTATTTTTGATCAACTTACTGAATTCTTACTAAATTAAAATGTTATTTTATTGTAGTCTTCCATGGTAAACTGTTTAAACAGCATAAATAAATTTTCTCTTTAGGAGCTGAAGTTGCCTACGTACCAAGCCCATTCGCCACAGATTGGAATGCGGCGGTACTTTGCTGACCTGCTCGCTGTTCTCAGTAACCGGTACCAGCTGTGCCCTACGGCGCGTCACCTGGCCGTCTACCTGCTGGACCTCTTCATGGATCACTATGATGTAGCCGTGCGGCAACTGTACGTCATCGCCCTCTCCTGCCTCCTGCTGGCCAGTAAGTTAAAGAGTCTTACACTGCTTCACCCTGTGGTGCGAGGTATGTTTCAGGACACAATCCAGGACACATGATCTAGGCAGGGGCGAACCATATATGGTTAATGACGAATCAGTCTTATTTTATTTTTTTATTTTTTTGTCTAAAGACGACTAACTCTTTAGGAGCATTTTCGCCACCTACTGTATTTCACTAATATGGTGATCGAGACTTTCCATGCTACGATTGGCTTTCATTAGACTGTGAACAGTTTAGGGTTTCCCATTTTAGTCATTATAATATCGTAATGATCATTTTAACAGCGGTGCACTTTTGGTACTCAAATTATGTAAATAAAAATAATTAGTTGAAACACTAATGACTATTTAATCAAATAAATTCTATTCATTCGCTGAAGTAAAATATTAATATAGTGTTATGCATTTATTAATTGTGAAACGATTTTATTACATATAAAGATGTATTATAGCCTATACATATTAATTTGCTATTATTTTTTTATTGTTATGAATCCATTATAACCTGTCCAACTTAGATTTATACATATTTCTGAGAATTGTTTTAGCAATCGAGTATCTACTTAATTGACTCTAAAACTGTTCAGTCTGTTAAATTGTATGACGATCGGAAACAATGTTCCCCATTCACCTGTCTTGATCGGCATATTTGTGAAATAGTATACAGTATTGTTTATTGTGTAAAATATTTATTAACAGGGAAGACATTATAAACATTAACATCTGTCATAATCAAATATATAGTTTGCCCCTGCTTGGATCGTGTGGGCTGGATTGTGTGTCCTGAAAGTGTGTGGGTCTACGGGTCTGCAGCTGGATATTATTGTATTGTGCTGGGGTTTGATGCGCTTTGGATGGCAGGTACCTGATGTAAATCTGATTTAAAATGATGATCTATTAATTGTTGCCAGAACATTTAATCAATATAGCTTATTGATGGTTAATTAAGCATGAACGCTATTAATTTGTGTAGTTTGAGGCATGTGAGGAGCAGATGCGAGGGAATAAATAAATAGGAAATTTGTGTTCTGTGTAAAAATCACATGTTGTGTTTGTATACGGCATTATCAAATTCAGGGCTCACAAAATCTGTTAGCCCGAAGTCCTGGGCTATTGTTTTTTATTTTATTTTATTTTATTTTATTATTATTTTTTATTTTTTCAGTTTTGTTTTTTGGGGCTATTAAGAGATTTTGGTAGCCCGATTGACAAAACAATAGCCCAGAGTTGGCATGGGACGATAACCATTTTCAAGTTATACTGCAGTTAGGAAAAGTCAAGGTTTTAAAACCGCCAATATTGTCTGCTATACTGTCCCTGAGATATGTCATCACCTTAGAATTATAAGGTTCTGTCTGACTTTGTCAAAATTGAGTTTAATGACATTCACATTATGGGATGTTTTTTTTGCATAAGTGGTTTACATTTTAAGACTTTTTATTTAAGAAAGCTAATGTTACACACATACTGTTTGCTATGGAATGCAAAAACTTTGAAGCTCAATATCTCAAAATCATTCAGAATGCAGATAAAACCTCATCATTCCAAGGTCACGATGTGTAAGATTTTTTATTTATTTATGATGAAATATTTTTTATTTAGATTTGTTTTTAGGACAGCAGTATCTCCAGCAGAAATGCATATCCAATGATGCTGTTTTAAATTGTTTAGAAATCTATAAAGACCGCAGAAGTCAATGATTGACTTGAATTATTTAGCCTGACATATTTACTGCTACAAAATATTTTAAACGTTTCTCAAAATAAAATGTTTTGTGTTCAAATGGGAAAAAGTTGTTGTTTTTTACTTAGACATATAAAAAGAATATATGTTAGAGCAGTAATCACAATACAATGAAACTGTGATATTTTAATCCAAGGTTATCATACTGTCAGAATCTTGACTGGCCTATGCCTAGCCCCAAGACTTCAGGCTACCAGATTTTGCGACCCCTGAAATTGCTAATTGTTAAAAATGAATTAGCATGTAATTTAGAGGAATGAGTAACATTAGCTCATGAACATGTACAAATATTGAAATTTAATCCATCTGAGATACTTATATTATGATTTGGCTATCAACCAAATAAGCTTTTACAAATAAATGACATTTATGAGTAAACACTGGCCTTTTCGCATTCTCCAGACTGTATTATGCACAATATCCTGTGCATGTCTGGAAAGAAAATAACATACAGTACAGTGACTGAAAAACTTATGTTTGTTCATGTGGACACACATGCACCAGTTTCTGGTGTGTACATTTGAGATGACACTATTGATGCATTGTGTAGTAATCATGACATTTTAGTCAATGGCTGCATTTTAAAATATCAGTTTTTTAATATTTTTTGCTAATAATTCCAATCGTTAAAATGTGTAAAAAAAAAAATAAAAATAAATACATAGGAAACTTTGCATTTTGAGTGGCATTTGCACATCATGTCATGCCGGTTGCAATAAACTCATCTTGTTAGGGCTGGGCTGATAAACGGTTTTATATTGAATCACGCTAAAATTTATGTCAATGACAATGATAAGCTCTGGACTTTTTTTTTTACTTTATTTTGATCTAAGAGCCAGTCACAGCGGAAGTGTGCAACAATGTGAATCTATAAGTGCGTTGATATTGGAGAAGCACTGAATTTTTAGCCACCGAAAATGTAACAGCCAAAAATAAGTTATGGCCTTTAATGGACCCTCTAATTTTTGTGGCTTCATTGTTGGCGTACTCTTTTAAATCTGGAAGCATTAACAACTGGTATCGAAATGTATATCGTTATCGTTCAATATTAAAATTATTATCGAGATTCCATTTATACCATATTGCCCCGTCCTACATCATGTATTCTAAAGGTTAATATCAAATCTTTTAATTGATTGATAAATTACACCAGTGGGTCATGGGAAGTTATGAAAGCTGACGTCCTTGATCTGAACTGAAGAAACTTAGTATCTATAAATGCTCATGTTAAGCTGAGTGAGCGTGTGTTTCACTCTGGGTTTGCTGGCTGCTGTATTGTGCATCGTGACAGCTGTGTGCATAAGAGGCCGTGGCCTCCGCTGGCCTCAAGACCCCTTATTCAGTCTCCAAGGCAACCCATCCAACGTGCAGATCTGAAAGTGCAGAGCAACGTACAGCTGCTTTGGCATGTTGCAAACCCCATCACAGTCTGAAGCACATGTCTGCTTCTGAGCTTTTTCTCTTATATACGAGATTATATGAGAACATAGAGCTTAATGGAGAAGTCACAATTGAATTCAAATGACTTCTTTCCTTTTAATCAAGTTTTGGATTTGATGTACTCCTGTATTTGCTTCTAGTTACTTTGTCTAATTGACTGCAAGAAACTGCAATGTATTGAAGAAAAATGTCTGCATCAAAGTCTTAAATTATATTGCGCTTCTCACAGTTTTGCAGTTGAATTCAAATAGTTTTTTTGGTTTTAATCAAGTTTTGGACTTGATATACTCCTTTATTTGCTTCCAGTTAGCCATACTTTGTCTAATTGACTACGAGAGGCTGTTATGCTTTGAAGAAAAATGAAGTCCCAGTCTTAAATTATATTGTGCTTCTCACAGTTTTGTAAACTCCATAATTCTAAAATGGGTGCAATATAGGCTGATGGCAGCCATTAAACAAGACTTTCAGTCTGTTTTTATAAAAGTATTCCAGAGGTGAATCTTATATTTACAAGCAAGTTAGTTAAAAATATCTTTCCTAAATTCAAGAAAAAAAAAATTAAGCAAAAAATGATATTAAATGTTGTGCTTTTTGCTAATGTTTTTGCATTTTAAAACAAAAAATCAAACCAAATGTCACTGAGATGTGACTTTCATATATTGATATTATGACAGCTTTAGGGTTGCACAATATTTTGTTTCAGCATCGATATGCATACGTTAATCGCAGGATCTGCAATGTCAAACCAGTATTATAGTTTTTTTTTTGAGGAGGATTTGAGGAGTTGTTGCAACGTTTAGCCATAAAGTTACCAAAATATATATTATATATTATATAATATATATTATTTATGTCAGTTTTTATCATTTATGTCCATTTAAAATATTCATGCATAAGAAATAATGATTCTAACTTGAAGAAAGTATTGTATTTTGGTGTGTGTATGTGTGTGTGTGTGTATATATATATATATATATATATTATTTATTATGAAGACTGTAGTGTTATTTTGCATTTGACTATTAAATTTATGTATCATTCTGAATATTGCTAGACTTCCAGAAAATCATAAAGCGCTGTATATTTCATTTGTACAGTGCCTTTGCTCTACTGTATTTCTGAATGTTTGTGATTGGTCTATTATATTTTATGTAGGTGCAGTCTCTTATGAACTCGCCCCAATGAACAGAAAATCAAGAATTCTTCTCAAATAGAGCTATTCATTTCATCTTGTGAAATTATATATTCAGTATTTCAGTATATTGTATAAAAAAATATCGCAATGCCAGTTGTTTTCAATATCGTGCAGCCCTAATAGCTGTTCTCCACTTAAAATGGTAAATATTCTAGAGATTGTTTTAAAATGTCCTCATTTAGTACGATAGCAGACAATTGAAAAATGATTTAGTGTGTTTGTTGGTAATAGAGACAAGCAAACTTCATATTTGGTATTTAAGGACACTAGACCTAATCATATCATCATAAGGGCCTAAGCACTTCTTTTGATTTTAATTCTGTTTTTTTTACTGGATTGTGTTTTTCACTGCACTGGTTATACAGTTAATTTCTGTCTGTTTTCATTTTTGCAAGCATTGGTGGTTTGATACATGAAGCATACTTTGAAAGACTATGCGTTCAACATGTATTTGTGGATATATTTTAATCACACAAGCGCTTTTCAGTAGTTTGTTGTTCTTGTTTAGTTACTGGTTCTTTTCTTTCTGTGAAGCAGCAGCTCAGTTTATTGTTGACACCATGTGGACAAACAAAGTTTTTTTTTCTTTCTGTCGAACACAAAAC